TATATTGCAATATACCGATATACCGGTATCGTTACACCCCTACAAATTAGTACTCGTAAATAACAACTAGGTCACCATAACACTGGTATGTACTCCTTCAGAGCTAGCTCATAGTGATAGTGTTTACAGTGTATGTGAGTCTGCTGCCATTAAAGCCAAAATATGCTCATCTACACGCTAATTTCTCCAGTAGGCCTACTAGACTAGCAAATACTTCGTGTCATGCATAATCATACTACCTTATGGCAAAATAAACTAGTTCCTCCCATTTCACTGCGCATTTGCTTAAAACCCACAAGTATGAGGTGCGAAATCTGGTAATCTGGTGCCAACGTCAAATTGTTTGCCAAGCAATTTCGCCCCGAATCGGTTAGGTCACGTCACATGTTGCTACGGGTGTTGAGCAGAGAATATAGTCGTTTAAATTTTAAGATAGTTGTAGTATTGTGAACTGCAGTGTATGTAACATCAATGGCTATTGGGAAAGTAATAATAGGCAGCGTAATAAACTCTGAGAATAACGTATTGATTTTAGGCTTGATATAGCGACCGATAACATGTCATTACGCTAGCAGCGTGCAAGCCGGCCCGTGTGCGTTTTTTTAGAAATCTTTGCTACACCCGCTGTACGGTTGCTTGGCAGAGCAACGCGAAAGTGTCAACAACATCGGAGAATTTGAACAACATTGGAGGTATTTTCAAATACCTTTTATAAGACAACGCGCAGTGAAATGGAAGGAACTAGAGTTTATTTTGTCATAAGGTAGTATGATTATGCATGACACAAAGTCCAGTACTGGATAAATTAGCGTGTAGATGCGCATATTGTGGCTTTAATGTAGTATTCCTACTAGTGTAAGACACACTGATGTGTATACATACTGTCTGAACTGAGCATCAGCCATCAGTTCATCAACTAGAGACTGCTTCCTATCCTTCTTGGGAATTCGTGAAGAGTAGAAATCGGCTGACGATTCTATAACCTTTCCCATCTGCAAAACAGCACTGTGCTTATACTAAGCACCTTGGTATGGTTAAGGAATATATTAACATGCCTGACAATCGTCACTTAAAATTACATCTGGTTTTGGTAGTGCTACACGCCTGAGGTCAAATATGACAAAACGATGACCTTGGCTCTGATGATGGCATGTACGGTACCTGGAAGTATTTTGGCATTCCTTTCATGTCGTTGCCCTTGTAGAAGTGTTTTGGGTCGAGAGCCCGCCTCATGTGGATCACTTGAAGTTCTCTCTTCACCTCATCTGTGATCTCAGTCTTGGGCATGTCAAACCACTTCTTACCCTTGGTCTTCTCTCGCTCCTCCTAAAACAAAAAATGTTGAATTTACACGAGTAGATTACTGTGAGATTTATTGACGAGTAAGTTCGTGAGTAGATTTGTTCCCAATCAAAAAATTTCCCTCAACTATCGAAAGGTGGCATCAAATCTTTTAGAAGTTATAACTGAACCTTTTTCTGCTTTGTTATTTTCTTCTTGCTTTCTTGGTGTGTTGGCACAGATTCTTGCTTTTCAAACCCTGGTTTGATGTTGCTCTTTATCAGAAGCTGAAAAAGGTTTCTCAATCTTGACTTGTTTTTTTTTAATAATTAAGAATATATGACCTAAGAAATAAGAATTAAAAGCAGGCCTGTTAAAATTCGTTTTTCTGTTATTTGCTCATTAGAAACTATGAAAATATTGTTAGTCTACTAATCCTTCTTCGTCAAATAATATATTTTGGTTATAACAACCATATTTCTGTGCTAAAGAGAAATGCTTGCATGTAAAACTTGCAGTTGGTTTTTTGACAGGAAAAAGTACCATATCTATCGAACCATATAGAGTATCAGGTAAACATTTTGTAATATATTTGGTGGGTTAAACGTTCAATAAAAATTTTACTCCACAACTCCTAATTCTTAAGTACGTGGCCAATAGTCTTTGAACCTTACACCACAAATCCTTGAAACTTTAACAACTAGCATAACTAACATACCTCACTGGTTTGGGTAAATTTCTTTATTATGCTCTTGCCAACTCGAGGCTTGCCTCGTATAGCTTTTTTTGCAGCTCGCTCTGGATCGACAAAGTAAGTGTCAGAGACGTCAATCCCTGCATCTATGTATGACGGAAGGGTATACCTAAATGGACCAAATTAGATGTAGATGTAGTGACATAGTGACAGCCGAAGACCAGCCTTATCACCATAATAGACAAACAGGCACATCACTCAGGCGAGTAAGACAATGCTCATTGTTCTACATGTTCTCATTATGTCTCATGTTCTCATTATGTCACATGTTCTCATGTCCTCATTGTCTACATGTTCACATTCTACATTGTTCTCAATGCTACAAAGTTCATTACAAGATGGTTGTTAGGTGTATGAATCATCTGCTTACAGTGCATAATTCTGGCATCTTATTCGCGAGCAAATTGTGTGGCAAAACCTGCATGTTGCAGTATCCCTGGTTTTAGTCGATTATTTTCAACTAACAAACAGATGACATTCCTGTGGCTCTAAGAGTATTTTATTTTAAAAGAAAATCTCGTGAATCACCTAACTGCTAACATCAGTTAGGTTCAGTTAGTTAGCCGATGTTCAAGTGGCAAACGTTTTCTGGGCAGAATAGTGTGAAGTTGTTAACACTATATTGTCAGCAAGTTGACTCTATTGACGCTCAACTACATTCAGTGACTGATCTTTTGATCTTGATGACGCTTGTAGCAGAAATGAAATTAGGGAAAAGTTCCCGTTCCAGCCGACTGGCCTGAAGGGTTCCGGCTGGAACCGGAACTTTGAAAAATTGGGGATCCGGCCGGATCCAAGTTCCGGTGCACCCCTAGTGTACGCAACTGCGTATCTGCGTTATGGCAGCTATGCCCCTGTTAGATCTATACTACTTGAATGAACATACACATACAATAAACTTGCATGTTGATATAATAGCCGAAATCTACCAACAGTCATAGTATTGTTAAATATATTTTTTTTCCATCAATCTGCCCCACCTTTTTGTACAGTCATATCTGTATTGGTACTATCAGATGTGAGATATCATGTATAATATTGCAGGCAAAGATTTTGTTAAGATTACCCACTCAAAATTAACATTATTCAGCTGCAAGAAGTTCTGGCCCTATACATATCCATGAATGATTTTGCCTTTATACTCTACTGTGAAAAACCACAGCACCAGTACTGTAGTACTAGTTGTTAGATATACCTATAGCTAGTTGTTAGCTAGGTCAATTCCTACACAGTCCAACAGCATATTCTAATACAGGCCTCATGCTGGGGCTCATTTTGAGAGACTCCCACACATTAGAATTTATTATAATATTATAATTAATTGTTATTATATAAAAGTTATTTTCTTAGATGGCTCCCACTTGTCCAAGATGCTACAGGCCCCAGTATGCGGTAATCCAAGCCCTATCCATGGCGCCAGTAGTCGGTTACAAACACCAATTTGCTAGAATATATATTATATCCTAGCTCTATAGCTGTGTGTTGCTTCATTTATGTTATAAATGTGGTACTCATAGGGGGAGCGCAGGGCTACACGGGTAGTGCTAATGCAATCCTTACTTATCATTATTACTATTTTCCACAATGCCTTTAAGTAAGCACATTTAAAAAATACACCAAATTCCTGGTAATTGCAAAGCCACATAGGAAAGCCCAGATAAACCCTAGCTCTAGTACTATAGCCCGCATTCATTAACTGCCGCACGCGGGCTATAGTACTAGAGCTAAGATAAACCCATGAATTCTGGAAGAGGGTGAGGTGAGTGTGGACTAGTGATGCTATTGTAGCTGTTGGGCTGGGCACTCAAAATGAATGTGGGTTCATTTGTGTGTGTGGGGGGGGGTTGTGTGTGTGTGGGTGTGTGTGGCGGTGGGGGGCTCAAGTGAATGCGAGCTGTATTGCTATTGCCTGGTACCAGGTGGTCCACATTTACACCTACAGAGCACCAATAGAAGTATCATAGTAATAGCCAACGCAGACATACGAGCTATGTTTTGCTGGATTTGCCGAGCCTGTGATTATAAATATTTCTTCATCCTGGTTGGCATGCGTCACGTTCGTCGACTGTAACTCGTTAGCTTGCAAGTTGCCTTCAGAATCACAGACATCAAAGTTTATACTGTTCGAGATCGATTCTTGTTGCGTGTGTGGAGTCTTATCAATTACAAATATTTCAGCACTCTCATCTTTCGCTGTGATATTTTGGCTTGGTGAATCTATTCGTTCTTCCGTGTTTTCTCTGAGCGATTGACTATCCGCCTTCATTGACCTGGTCACTCGACGAATAGTTCGGTGATTATCATCCAACTTTGACACACCTTGTTCAGTAAACGTTGTATCTGTCATCGCTTGTTTGACTTTACTCACTGCTGCTTCCAACTCGCTATCAGAGTTGGAACTACTATCTGAATCACTAGTATTGCAGTTCTCGTCTACAGACGACGAATTCTCCTCGTCCTCCATTTTTAGCACGAAAAGCACGAGAAAGCGACAGTTTCACGTATAGGGGGCGCAACCGGTACTTGAATCAAGATGAGTCATTTAGGGGGTGTGCGCAGCATTGGCCAATCACAGTATATCGTAGTCGTGACGTCAGATGTAAACACAGGCACGCGCGCAGCCTGGAACATTCTAGGAGATTCTAGCGATCGCGGGTCGTGAATGTTCTAGAACAATACATAATGTTCGTGAATGGTCCACGCGCGGACGGTTCTCGATGCGGCGAAGCTGTATAAAAGCTGCGCGGTGCCGTTAGTTGCCCATAACCACACGAAGATAGAGCAGAGACGAGCATCGTGAGATATTGTAACGAATACAACAGCGAGTGGACAGATAGTACTGATAGTATTAGTAATTGTGTGATATCATCGACGATTTTACTACGTAACAAGACGAGAAAGTTCGTATATTGCTATCCCATACCTGTTTACTCTAGAAGTATATTTCGCTGAATCATCAGAATGGCAGCTCCAGCAATCGGCATCGATCTCGGAACGACGTACAGCTGCGTCGCCGTATTCCAGCACGGCAAGGCGGAGGTGATCGCTAACGAGCAGGGCAACCGCACGACGCCCAGCCACGTCGCTTTCACCGACAGCGAGCGTCTGATAGGCGACGCCGCCAAGCAGCAGGTGGCACGCAATCCGCACAACTCCGTGTTCGACGTGAAGCGACTCATCGGCCGACGCTACGACGACGCCGTCGTGCAGGCCGACGTCAAGCTGTGGCCGTTCGCCGTCGTCGGCCGCGACAACAAGCCGCACGTGCAGGTGCAGCACGCCGGCGAGACGAAGCTGTTCAGCGCCGAGGAGATCAGCTCGATGGTGCTCGGCAAGATGAAGGCGACCGCCGAGGCGTACCTGGGCAAGCAGGTAACCGACGCCGTCGTCACCGTGCCGGCCTACTTCAACGACTCGCAGCGGCAGGCGACGAAGGACGCCGGACGCATCGCCGGCCTCAACGTGCTGCGCATCGTCAACGAGCCGACGGCGGCCGCGCTCGCCTACGGACTCGACCAGCGGCTGGCGGGCGAGCGCAACGTGCTCGTCTATGATCTCGGCGGGGGCACGTTCGACGTGTCCGTGTTGACGATCGACGAGGGCGCCATGTTCGAGGTGCGCTCGACGGCCGGCGACACGCACCTCGGCGGCGAGGACTTCGACAATCGGCTGCTCACCTACTTCGTCGACGAGTTCAAGCGCAAGCACAAGCGCGACCTGTCGGGGAGCGCGCGCGCGCTGCGGCGACTGCGCACGGCCTGCGAGCGAGCGAAGTGCACGCTGTCGAGCAGCAGCGAGGCGACGGTCGAGGTCGACTCCCTGCACGAGGGCGTCGACTTCTGCGCGAGGATCACACGCGCGCGCTTCGAGGAGCTCTGCAGCGACCTGTTCGCGGCGACGCTGTCGCCCGTGGAGAAGGCGCTCGCCGACGCCAAGATCGACAAGTCGTCGATCGACGACATCGTGCTCGTCGGCGGCTCGACCCGCATCCCGAAGATCCAGAAGCTGCTGCGCGACTTCTTCCACGGCAAGGAGCTGAATCAGTCAATCAACCCGGACGAGGCGGTCGCCTACGGAGCCGCCGTGCAGGCGGCGCTGCTGAGCGGCGACCGTAGCGACGCCATCAAGGACGTGCTGCTCGTCGACGTCGCGCCGCTGTCGCTCGGCATCGAGACGGCCGGCGGCGTAATGGCGAAGATCGTCGCGCGCAACACGCGCGTGCCGACGAAGGGCGCGCAGACGTTCACGACGTACGCCGACAACCAGCCGGCCGTCACCGTGCAGGTGTACGAGGGCGAGCGCGCGATGACGCGCGACAACAACCTGCTGGGACGCTTCGACCTGAGCGACATCGCGCCGGCGCCGCGCGGCGTGCCCAAGATCGACGTCTCGTTCGACGTCGACGCCAACGGCATCCTGACGGTGAGCGCCAAGGACGCGGGCTCGGGTCGCTCGAGCAACATCACGATCACGAACGACAAGGGTCGGCTGTCGAAGCAGGACATCGAACGCATGCTCGCCGACGCCGAGAAGTACAAGGCCGACGATGACAAGCAAATGGAGCGCGTCGCGGCGCGCAACAAGCTGGAGGGCTACGCGTTCACGCTCAAGGAAGCCATCAACGACCCGAGCGTCGACGGGCGGCTAGAGGCGACCGACAAGGAAGCGGCGAAGCGAAGCTGCGACGACGTCATCGCCTGGTTGGACGCCAACTCGCTGGCGGAGAAGGAAGAGATCGACTACAAGTACGAGGAGCTGCAGCGGGTGTGTGCGCCGATCATGTCCAAGCTGCACCAGCCGTCGGACGGTCAGCAGGCAGGCCGTCAGCAACCATGGTCAAACTGCGGGCAACAAGCTCAGGGTGCAAGTGGCAAGGGTCATCCTACCGGCCCCACGGTGGAGGAAGTAGATTAAATTCACCAAGTCATATATTATTTGTTATATGTATATTATTATTGTAATATATTGTTCATCGATAAGCTTGTAGTTTTAGCCGGAAATAACGAGCTGGATCGACGAAAAACATGTAGAAAAAGAAATACGTGCATTGTACTTCGTGGAATCGCAATTACTTTTATTACCACAATAATTTTCACGTAACATGTGATACAATCATGCATTGTAAAGTAATAACTAGGACGTAATGCAGGTGTTTTGGGCTTGCGCGCCGTTAGTGCTCTCTATCGGCTATTTGTAGCATACTCATCAAGACTGTTTAGCATTGAGTACGATAAACGAAAAATACGTCAGGATTCATATATATTGCTTTGTACATGTGTGTATTATTTGTAAAAATGTCGTAATAAATTATATGTCAATATACTCTCAAAAGTATAGCATTATTGCGTTATATTTTCTTCTGCCAATGAAGTCACATTCAAATGAAATTTCGCATGCGACCACAGATGTCAAACGAATATATTCATACAAAAATTAGAGGCAAACCTATAAGAACAAGTAAGAACTTACAAGCTGGTAGGATTTGGTAAAGTTTCCATAAGAGAATGATTCGCAGTTAAAAAAATAAAATCACGCTTACGCCCTACAACTGTATGCTAGAATTAGGGAAAATGCGCGAGTGCTTATAATTATTTCCGTGGAGCAAATGATCACAAGTGAGTGAAATTTTCATTTTTTCACTAAGTTAGTGCTGTGTAATAAATCGTAACCTCAACTAGGAAATTAATATACGAGCAAAATGGCAAACAAAACATGAGAAAAACTGGGAATTTACAAGCAGATGCAGTTTGTCGAATCTAACTTTGTAAATAAGAGACTGACACACAGTATATACCAACATCAGATGTACGAATACATATCACACGCTATGCAACAATTCGGCAAAATAGGCGCCTAGTAAATATTGTGGTCAGGACCGTCAGGACCGTAGCTGTGTATAATAGCCTTATCATATACAAGGTTACAATAAATATTATACAATACGTAGTAAATTTGTAGCGTCCTATACATATATGTTATTCGATAGTACGAGCGGGTCGTCGACATGTATTATACGTCGCTACAGTACTGTCGGATGGCCACTGCCCATTTTAAATGCATTATTTCAGCACATTCGATTTTTTTCACAGCCAGCGGGCATGCACAAAACCCAACATATTCTCTGCGAAACAACCAACGGCGTAGCCAGGATTAAATCCAAGGGGGCGGCAATGAGTTTGAGGTAGCGGAGCGCCCGAGGGGGGTTGGCTATCTCTACTCCCACAATGAGAGCTTTTTGCATTTTGATGTTGTTAATGGTGCAATTTGGTGCATTTT